TAAAGGCGCGCGCAAAACAAATTTTTTTTGGATTAAAAAAGATTTGAAAGTTGCTTATTTTTGAATATACTTAAATTTCCGAGCTTCGAAGGTAGATCAAAAATGAATTTCAATGTAGTATATTTTTTGATATCAAAGCGCACACTTTTGAATGACTAATATGGAATTTAGGCATTTTCGCAAAGTTCATTTGAAGGAGACAAAAAAAAAACCATGAATTTTCTTTTTCTTATTTTTTTCTCGATGAAATTAAACGCGCCGCAAAATGGGGCAATATATTTTGTATAAATTGGGTGGTGTTTTTGGTTTTTTTTCTCTCTCTCTCACCGTCATTTTTTTGGTTTTCGTTTGGTTGTTTGGCGTTATGCTTCATCGTCAGTCTTCGTTTTTTTGTCGTCTTCTTTTCTTTCAATTTTGTATCATAAAATGTGTGAAAATCGCGACAATTTTTGTTGGATAAAATGTTTTTTTTTTGTGCGATTCGGCATAATATGCATTAATCTCTCATCTTATCTCATGCGCGCGTTTTTCCTCTTTTTTTTTCACAACTCGTAATCCCATGTCGGTTGGTTTTTTTTTAATTCCATTTAATTCCAATTTTTTCCGCCTCCTCGCGATTTGTTCGGGAATCGCGTGAGCTCTCGAATTGTTGAATAATCTGTAATTTGTTATGTCCGACCGGATTAGCGCCAATATTCGTATTTTTCGTCGCCGCTTCCGCTCGACTGACTCATTTCATCCTAATTCGCGAAAATCATACGGTAGCCAGTTTAATCGCAATCATGCGAACCTCGATCGATGTCCGCACATGATTTTTGAGGCAACCTCATTTGATGCATTGATGCGATTGCTGGAAACTACATATTTGGAATTTCTCATTTTAAGAAAAAAAATTGAAATTTTTGTTTGATTTATTTGTATTTCTGGTACGATCCGAATCCGTGTGGGACCATTTTTAAAGGCGCGCCCCTTATGAAATTGAGCTAACCGTCATCACGGCGTTTTATCAAACAAAAAAAAAACATCCCTACCCGACATTATCTATTATTGCTGCCGACAATTTCACTGCTATTTTTCTCATGAGCCGTCCGCAGATGTGTTTCATTAAAAAACGAATCCGAGCGATTCATTCCATCGCGTTTCAAAATCGAATTGTTGGTTGCGAATCGGTCTTGAAAAAAAAAATGGTTTGAAGTTGAACATTTTGAGCGCTCTTTGCCGCCGCTGGGATCTCGCCGAAAATCCGCGTTCTTATCGTATCGGGTGGGAAGAGAATTTGTGTCGATAATCCACCGAGTTACGGTAGATTAGCGGCGATTTTTCGAAGGCTGCTGGGTGTCTCGAAAATTTCTTTTTTTTTTTGCATATTGTCTCTTGGTCAAAACGAGAAAAGAGAAAAAAGTCAAATTTCGACGAAATTCGCGTCTCTCTCTCTCTCTCTCTCGGATATCCGGCTTAAAATGATGAAGAAATGAGAGCTGAGGTCCAAATTTTCCACCTGCCTGACCCACAGTTAATATTTTTTTTTCTTGTTTCTTCTCGCCCTTTCTGCGTTTTTGGTTCGCCGCCGCCCTGACGACACATTCTTAAAATTTCTATTGTTTTGTTTGGCCTCTTTCAGAGAGATGAGTTTTTGCACTTAAAAAAAACGAACAAAAAACTCCTCCCTTTGATGAAAATTTGCAAATGCCACTCCACTCTCATTCTTGCGCGGTTGCTATGTTGGAGGGGGTCCGATGCGCCGAGTTTGGAATGTTGCGAAAAAATTTGTCATTCGGAATTTGTGGGAGCATTGCGCGTCATTTTTTCCTCCATTTCTCACCAATTTTTTTTCATTCTATGCGCCTTTAAAATCGCATTCCTCGCCGTTTTTTTTTTCCTACTAAACTATCTAAACTATGATCCTTTTGAAAATTTGCATTCTCGAAAAAAAAATTCGTCAAACATTTTCATTGGTTTTATTTTTATTAAATCACCTGCGTGCGCTTCTTCGAGCACAGCTGAAACTCTGGCTACCGTAATACGAGGCAGGTGATATGGTAGGAATCAGTTGGAAAGGATTAGTTGAAGTCGCATTTTATTCTCTAGAAATTGTCACACGATCATCATCATAATAATGACGAAACGAAATTCTCTTCGTCGCCGTTTTTTTTTTCTTTGTGCGTTCTGAGCCGTTGTATTCAAGTGCTTGTTATCGTTTGTCGGATTATGCTCGCTGCTCGGCGAGCTTTTCATTTTCCCCCCCATTTTGCTGATTGGGTCGGATCATCGCCGGATAATACCTTCATTCTCACTCTCGATATTTTCATTTGCTTCTTCATTTTTAAAACGAAAATTTCTCCACTCTCATTATTTCCGATTGCGTTTTGCCGCTTTGTGAATATCACACGCATTTTTTTTAAGGTCTTTGAAATTGCCCAATCCGGCGGGTCCGTCGCTGTTTCCAAACTGGCGGCGTTGACTTCGAATTGTTCGCCGGCGACCGGCTCGCCGCTTATGATGCTGTTGTTCAAGGTGAAACATTGTCACTGTTGTATGGTGTCGAGTACTGTAAGAAAATGTACCGTAATAGATAATTTTAAAAAAATCGGGGACGATAAAGTTTGAAAAAATTCACTACGCGCTAACGGTAGCAGTTGTTTCTCGGTTAGCTGATGCGATACGGGATTCACACTTTTCCGAATATTTTTTCGGATTATTAATACATAGATTGTCAGAATCTGGTTGACAACGACGAACGGAAACGTTCTACATTCAAATTGCACACGAAAATCGGTGCTACAGTAACCGGTGGCGTCGATTTTGCGTTTTTATTTTTCGAAAATTATTAAAAATTCGCGAGCGTTTATTACGATCGCCAAAAATGAAACGAGCAATTGTGGACCATTGTACTTTTTGTAGGGGGGGGGCGGTAATTCAAATTTTGAAGCTGGCTACCGTACTAGAGAGAAATCTGCGACTCAAACACGCATGCTTCTCGTTTCTTCGTTTTCTCTTTGTCGCCGAATGCGATATTTCGCGGAAATTCACATAGCAAAAAAATCCGCTTTAAAAAAGTATGAGCAGTGAACTTGGCGATTATAAGCGGAAAGACGAATCACACGTTTGCGATTTTGATAAAAAAAAACTCTGAAGAGGGTCCGGAGGGGTGGAATTTGTCGAAATCGAAAATGAATGGCGGCCTGTGGTTTTGAACAATTCGTGGGGCCACAATTTGCCAATATCTTAAACAATTTTCGATGTGTGACACAGCTGAAATCAATGTTACAGTATAACTAGAATCTCTAAGCTAAAAATCTAATTTTTAGAAAACTCGACGATGAGTCGTAAGATGTACTGTAACTTTTGTTTTTGCTGTGTCCTCTGCCCTCCACCCCCCCCCCCTCACCCCCATAAAAGTAGTTGGTTCTTTTATCAATGTGTGTGATTAATGTGTTTTCGACGAAATCCCCCCCCCCACCAAAAAAAAGAGCGGATTTTGTTATCAAATCCGACTTGGCTGTAAGTATCTTTTTAATTTCCAATTAAGCCAAGTAATTCCGAATCTCGCCCTCCACCGGTAAACATTGGGATGATCCGTGCCCGGTTGGGTTGGCTACGGTAGATTGACGATGATGACGTCGTCGTCCTTTCATCGTTCTGATAACAATCGTTGAATTTCGGTTTTGTGATTGCAGGCAATATCCGGCGAAGAAAGCGAAGATGAAGCTCGACGACGACGCGAGCAGCTCAACAGGCGACCCTCATATCGGTAATTATTTTCTTTTTTTTTGCTAGCAGTTTATTTTTTTTTGTGCCGCTAATGAGGTTAATTAAGTCGTAAAAACTGAAAATGAGACCGAAATTGGGCCGAGCCCCGTTTTGCACTATTGCGCGTACTCGAAGAATTGTTCTACCGTAATCGCTAGGTGGCTGAATTGAAGACATTGGAATTAGTCACCTGGCTAATTAGTTTTGTGTTAATTGGGAATTCGAAGGGGGGTGGCTGGTTGCACTCTAATCAACTTTCAATTCATGTTTTGCCAAAAAAAAATGAAGAAAAATATGAAATCTGCCCCCAACTCGGTGGATTTGTCGCGCGCGCGCGCGCGCGGTGCAAACGCCGCGTCTCATTTCATGTCGGAATAATTCATTTCCACTTGTCGTTTTTTTTGGTTGGTTGGTTGGTTGGTGGTTTTTTTTTGCTCTTGTCTCACATCTCCACACCATTCCATCGAGCTCCTCATTATGCGATTGCCGTTTGGATTGCCACCAAAGTTTGGAAGAAGAAGGACGAAGGACGAAGGACGCGCGGTGGTGCTCATCAAGTATTCTGGCAAACAAGGTATACGCGTGTGTGTGGGGGTGGGGGTGGGAGTGGGGAGTGGAATTGCATCTAATTATCACCAGGTGTGTACTTGTGCTTCACCGATGCGACCGACGAGCGGGGCCTCCCAAATGCAAAAACACAACGGACATTCTTGCTAATTGTTGATATAGGTGCTCATGGAGCATAGAAGGGGGGAAGAAGAAGAAGAAGAAACTATGCGGCGCACTCCACCTACACCCTCAACATTGAAAAGTGAGAAGCCGTCGCTGGGTTGTCTGGCGTTTCCCGCTTTCGGAATTTTTTTCTTCTTCTGTGTCTCGTAGCCGCGAGCTATCGCGAGCGCGCTCACACACACACACAAAACACATGCACAAGGTGAGGGTGGTGGGCGTGGCTTTGATTTTCGGGGTGCGCGAAATGATGAATTAGAGAGTGTTGCTTGGTTAGACGCGGTGGCTTGGCGCCCGGGCCATGGTGGGCCGGCCCGGACCACTCTCAACCGTCATGTGCTTTCATCGTGTTCGTCTTCAATGTTTTACTTATTATTATTATTATTATTATTATTATTATTATTATTATATAATTGTTTGTCTAAATGATAATGATGGTGATCTTCATCATACTCGCTCTCATTCCGACTTGTCCTCCTCCTTCCCCCGCAACCGACATAGTAGCATAGTTCCAGGCGGGTATGATGTCGAACATTGTCGAGATGGACGCGCGAATGCGCTGGAACACCACCATCTGGAATGTCATCAATAATTTGACGATGTTCAATCGGGACAGGTGATGGATGAGTTGGTGTTGTGATCGTGTATTTCATCCGTGTTTTTATTATTATTTTTTGAAATTTCGAAACGACAATTGCTTAGAGCATGGTTGGTGTTGGTTGCTAGGCGATTTTGAGTTGAGTCGTCCCGTCCCATTGGCGGAATGGAGAGCCGATGCTCCCAATGGTCTGTTCCGAACACCATTGGGCTGTGGCGACTGTGTCAATTTGGAAGCGCTCGTTGAATAGTGATGAGCAACAGAAATAGTTGGAAACCTGAAAAAAAAAATGATGATGATGATGATGATGACGATTCGTGGAATTTTAAAACGGAGTCTAGGCAAGAAAAAAGTTTTTTTTTTCCAATTGCCACCGAATTTTGCGATAATGATGAGGTGATAGTGCATCTTTTTTTTCTCCAAATGATATGCGCACAGAATTGTTGCTGATGCTGCTCAAATTGACCCGTTTTGAGGCAGCCGCCGTTTTTGTCCAAGGTGCCAATTACGGCCGGGGGATTTGTGCGCGTGATTTTGTGGAGCCCACGCCAAAATGCCAATGGCACAAACTTAAATTATAATGTTTGGATCTCCCCCTCCCCCCTCTCTCACTCTAATTGATAGGTTTCGGTCGGTGCTGGGCCGCGACATAACTTGAATAGGTACTAGTAATGTTCTGCGGATCGATTAGTTGAGGGCGGTTGGGAAGAAGTTCACCAAGTCTATTTATATCGACGAACGATGACGTCAAATATTTGATAACGGGTTTTCTGTTGCGCCTGCGGACACCTCGCGGTAAAAGGCGACGAGCTTTCGATACTCTTTTTGTTTCTCTCTGATTGGGCCAAGGTTAGAAGAAGCGGCGAAGGACACACAATGAAGAAGTGAGCGTGGGGGGGGGAAGTTGCTTGAACGGCGATCAAGGGCGTCAAAAACCCTCCAAATGAAATATCATTTTCACCAATTTTTTAAAATCGAATTTTGCAAAACAAAAACGAATGATGAACGTCGAATTTCAGCATGATACTCAAGGATCTCGAGACCGCTGACAAGACGATGAAAAAGGAGCCCGAGGAGACGCCGCCGTCGTCGGTCGACGCTTCGCCGTTGCAGGTAAGGGCGTGGTCTTTAGCATTGTGACAATACAACTACTGAATTGATATCGTCATTGATCACAGGTCAACATTCCGACATCGATGCTTCCGCCGCAGACGATCCCCCAACAGCAGTCGCGCATCACGACGGTGTCGGCAGCGGCAGCGTCATCGTCGAGTAGCGCGCCGTCGCCGTACGGCTCGCCGCTCGGCTCGTCGCTGATCTCGACGCCGAGCTCGCTCGTCCACCCGTTCCATCAGATCAATCGCGACATTCATTTGCCGGCCGGCGGCATCGATTTTGCAGCCGCCATCGCCGCCGCCCAGAAGGCGAACGAGGCGGCGGCGGTGGCAGCGGCGGCGTCGAATCACAATTTAGGTGAGTTGCACACACACACACACACACACACGTTATGTATATGAATGTGTATATTTGGGAATACCCATGATAACAGAAAGTGTCAGGAATAGAATATGATGATAGATAGATAGATAGATACGGTTGTAATAGGAAAAATGTTGTGCGGCGCGTGCGCGCATGAGAGGCGGCAAAATAGAAAAGGAAGCGAGTAGACGGAAAAGGGACGCTATCAGTTTTGGGTGGTGTTTTGCTGTCCCCGCGGGTCGGTCAGTCAGTCAGTCACCAGACGACGTCGTCGTCGCCATCGTCGTCGTCGTCATCATCATCACCACTATCATCATCATCAACGGTTCGTTTTTGCCGTCCCTCTGAGCCAGCACACCAACGGTGACGTCATTTGAGTTTTTAATGATAAACGAACAATTGGCGTATAGCCATCTTCGAGGTACACACATTCTAAGACCCTTTTTTTTCAGTGTTATTTTTTGTTGCACGCAAGCTTCATTTGAGGTGTATTGACGAAATGAGCATTGATTTTGCACTTTGCTTCCATGATTCAAAAATCGTCTGTCAGAAATTTTATTTTTGTAGGATATAATTTGATTTGTCTCAAATTGATGGGATCCTTTTTATTTCAAAATTTCAATTTTTGAAGGGTTCCCCAAAAGTGTTAACATGATGCCAATGATTAAAAAAAAATCATAATTAAATATAATTGACACGGGTTGGCGCTACGAATTTCGCATGAATGCGATAAAAATTGATTTTTTCTTTCCCACAATTTTTTGATTAACTTGGAAGACAATGTGTTTTTTTTCTCGTCTTGACGAATTGAGACTTTTAATAGATTTTTGATGTCGTGGGATTTCGGGAGGCGAGCGCACTTACTTAAATCTTTTATTTATTTTTTCTGTCTTTGAAGACTAATTGCAAATGTTGATTTCTAGGACCACCGCAGAATGGACTCGTGCCGGGACCATCGTCGGGATTGGCGATTATGGGCAATCAGACGCAATCGCAGGTTCAACAGCAACAGCAACAGCAGCAGCAACAACAGCAGCAGCAGCAGCAGCTGAACTCGCAGGCGGCGGCGCAGGGTATCGAGGGAACGTCGTCGAGTTCGGCGATTCACGCGATGAAGCCGCTCGTCGCCATCGATCCGTCGAGTTTTTCGGGTAAGCGCCGTTGAAATGTCGACGAAATTTGTGGTTTTTTATTGATAATGTCGATTAGAATACACAGATTGGCAATCGCCGCTGTTGTCCGGCTACAGTAGTAGTCCGTCGCCGACGATGCAGGGCTCGAGTATGCGGATGAGCGGCGGCGGCGGTGGCGGTGGCGGCTCGATGCACGGCGGCGAGGACGAGACGAATCGGAAGCGGCAAGTGCGGCTGCTGAAGAATCGCGAGGCCGCCAAAGAGTGTCGAAGGAAAAAGAAGGTGAGCGAATGAGGAGGCGTATTTAAAGGCGCATCGAAAATTTGGAACCTCGCGCCCTTTAAGTTTTGTGCAATTTTCTCGCCAAGCTGCCACCCAATAATTATAGGTGAAAATAAATCGTTTTTTTTTTTTGAAAGCAATTATTTCGCACACATCATTCCAATATTACCCTATAATAAGAAATTGTTTCGGATTTTTTTGGTTTTTTTTTTCTCAAACATCATTCTTGTAGGAATATGTGAAATGTTTGGAGAATCGCGTATCGGTTCTCGAGAATCAGAACAAGGCGCTGATTGAGGAGCTGAAGACGTTGAAGGAGCTCTATTGTCGAAAGGAGAAGCCCGATATGTGATTGTTGGTCCGTCCCGTTGAAAATCTCAAATAAAAAGGATTTCCTCGCAATTTTTGAAGCTCTTTAGCAGGAATTTGTTCATCAATTTTTATTTTTTTGAAAATTTTGTTTTTTTTTGTTTTGTTTTCATGTGAATACTTCTTGTGATTCTTCTAGTACTTGTTGTTGCCGCCCGCGCACTGTTTCAACAAGAATTGTGTGTTCAGAACCCTATGATTCGCCTAGCATTATATGATATACATATATAGTTGAGAAATTGTTTCGAAATTTGATTGTGATATGATTTTTGTGAGTGTTTTCTTTTTTTTGTCTTAAATCTTCCTCTCCTAATTGCCCATTTTTTTGAGACTACTTTAATTCTGTTCACCCCTCGTTCGTCTTCTTAATATGATTATTATTATTATTTGTTCATTGAGGGGGCAAAATGATAGCATTATTAACATTAATTCGTCTTGTCTTTGATTTTTTTGTGTGTATCTCCACCGAAATTTCTCGAATAATTCAAGAAAAATCGATAATAACTGTTTTTTTTTTGTTACTATATATATATATACCATCATCATCACCATCAGCCATACTTGTGTGGTTATTGAGGAATTGTGTTCAGGAATAAATTATCCGCGATCGATTCGCTTCGGTTTTGGTGGGCGTGTGGTTTCCCACGCGACACTGGCTCACCGGAAATTGGGAAAAGAAATATATATTTTTTTCCCGCGTTTTTGTCCATTGATTTCGAGTTTCGAAAAAATGCGACGACAACTATTGGTTTTATTGCTGGGTTTCGCGATTATTGACGCAGGTGAGGATACTGTAGTTTAAAGGGACATGATCTAGCTGTATGCCTTTTTTTTTTTGGAAACTCTTGCAGGATTGGTTTCAAAGTTCAGTTATAGGGAAACAATTAGAATGGCATTGTCCGTGTGGAGTACACAAATCTTTGATTTTTTTTAGAGAAGAAAAATGCGAAAATTACATGGGTATTGTCGTCAAATAAAATGCATTAGTCCGCAACGATTCTAATGATGAGATTCACTATGAAGCAACGCATAAATGCTCAATTATTCAGCAATAAAAAATATTTTAAAAATAGTCGTCGAATAGAATGCATTCGGTGTGAACACGCGGATTTCTCATAGTTGAAAGAATTGTCAATTTTTTGGTATCGAAGTTTCCTAAAACTGGCGACATTCATTGTTTCAGATTTTCTCGAAAACCGCAACGCGAACCGCTACGCGCCAATTTTCTTAAATTGGCATGAAAATGACATTGCGGACCTGTGCATTTTATTTTACGACACTTTGCTGGTGTAGTTTTGTGGTCCAAAACATGCTAATAGTTTCAAAAAAAAAAGATACTTGTAAGAGCAAAAGAAATAATTTTGCAACGTCCAAAAAATGCAATAAAAATGGGTTTTGAAACAGCAAATTTTAATTTCGAAAAATTTTCATAATTTAGATTTTTGCACTATGCGCCTTTAAGATCCAATTGTCTCGATATTCTCGCATTCATTTTTCGGAAGAAAAATGTGGTCGGAATCAATCTACACACACTCAATTAGGGTATAATTGAGAAATCGAATTATGGCGAAAGAAAAAATTAAATTAGTGTGTTATGATCAGGATCACGTGTGTTTATTCAAAGAACATTTTCGCCACCATCAAATTCGATGAAGCCGATTTTGATCTTTGATCTCAATGACCAAAAATAAATATTGACGCGTTCGTCTTTCAGCGCTAATCCCGCCGATCGATGCGACCACCAAAAAACCGTTGAAGACGACACCGACATCCGATGAGCTCACCACCGCGACGCCTCCGTCGATCGCTGGCGTCGTCGACGTGAAAACGACAACGCCGGCCGAAAAATCGGCGGCTGTCAAGTCGATATCGAGCCCAGTTTCGACACTTGCACGAATCGCGATGTTTAAGCTATTATTGATTGGCGCGCTTGCGACGACGCTGATCGACGCCAACCGCGGAATGTCGAAGCCCGGCGAGCCGTTGGCGACCGGTAAGCGCGCCATCCATCTCATTCGATATTAAACGATTTCCAGGATTGATACCGATGCTCACCGACGCCACCAACGTGCCGCTCGACGAGAAATCGATTGAGGTGCCGTTGTACGACGAGGCCGACTTCAAGAATGTCGTTGCGTCGGCGCACGAGATCGCCGACAATCGCAATCATCCGGAGCGGATAGCGGGACTCGGCGAGCACGTCGACACGCCGGCCGATCAGATCGCCGAGATTCTCGGCACCGTCGCGGCGACCACCGCGAACGCGATGCTGTCCGCAGCAAACGACACCGATATCGAGGCGGCGATTGTATAATAATCATGCGTTTGTGAATGGCACACGTTCGAATAAATATTCAAAATTGTTGGCTCATTGTTTCGCGACTTCGATGTCATTCGAGAGCGCCACTTCCAGAATGGCGAATTCGTTCATTGAAAGCTCCTGCAATAATATGTCATGACTGCTGCGGACATTTTTGCGGGGGCGATTTGCCGCCAGATGAATATTTGATGCCCCCCCCCTTTATATTACCGTAGTCGCGCTCGCTTTAAGACCAATATCATTGCAAAGTTGAAGGATTCGCGGAAATTCGGCAATATCGACGTCCGACGACATTCTCAGCCACGTTTTGTGCCATGTCGGCGGTCGATGGTACCTAGAATTAAGCGGTTTGCAATGTCGGAGATTAGTGGTCCCCCCCCCCCTAACCTTATATAGTATTTTTTGGCAAACTCCTCATAACGAAAGACGTGCTGCAAATCTTTGTCGTCGTCGATGCACGTCGCCTCAATGATGATCTTGTGCGATTGAATCGCGCCCGGTTTTCGAGTGATCTGAACAACACGTGTTGATCCCAAATGATCCGCAGGGATCACCTCGATGATGGTGGAAGCGCCGGGCTCCAATATGAACATGCTCTTCTTCACCGAGAGCTGCTGGCTCGAGCTGCCCATCAGCCGACAAGCCACTTTGAAATCGCTATCATTCGCCACGGTATGCTCAAATAATATTTCTGAAATTCGATTGCTCATTTCGAAAACCTCGAAAACCGCCTTCTGATCGCTGGTGATCGTGTATTCCATCGGGAATATCCGCAAATGTGTGCCGCTGATTCGTCTGCAATTAAGCAATTAAGCAATTAATTGCAAGACGCCGATTTACTTTCGTTTCTCGTTTAATTCGAGTTCAACGGTCGCTAGAATACCTTCAAAAAATCAATGAGTGGATCGTCGAGATTCTGAAGATCATTCTCACCTTCATCTGCCGCCGCCGAGGCCATTTTTTTTTTGAAATGAAAAAAAAAACCAAAAATCACACGTTTTTATTCTCATATTTTCATATTGATGGGAACCCGCAATGTGTCCGCAGATTCAATTGATAGGCAGAATTTTTACGAGTGTGTGCTTTGAACTCGTGGTTTGGTTGTTGACATTCCGATCAGACGGCAAATTTTATTGGAATTCATGGGAAGCGGGTGAATCCACAAAAATGATATCATTTTTATAAAACAAATTGCAATTTTTATTGGATTTTCGAAACATTTGAACTCATTTGTTTAATTTTAATAAAAAATAGTCTCTACAAGAATCGGAATTTTCATGTTCCTTTAATCTTTAAAATTACTCTGCGAATACAGTAATTAAAGGAGCGTTACCAAAAACGAAATAAAAAATATTTAAAAAAAATATGACACGACCGACTTCTTCTAAAATGCACATCTGAACACTGTCTACCGTAATTGAAATTCGTGTTGAGACACAAGAAAGACAATTCTCGAATGTTGGGAGTTGGTGACTCATTGGGCATTGAGGAGTGTCTCGATTGGCCGGCTGCCCTCTTCCAATTATTCGTGTTCCTTTCCAAAGCATTAGACTCATCCACTGGTCCTTTGACATGATTTTAATGGTCCAAGGATCATTGGATGAGTCTAGTGTTGATGGAGAGACCTTGTTTTTTATCCCAAGTGTTTTTTTTAAGTAATATAAGTCTCCCGTCAAAATTGTTTTCGAGAAAATCGATAATTTTCATGAAAGCGTTTGAATTGAGAGAATTCTCAAATTTTCTCGCAAATCAATTTCCATATAAGGAAAACAGTTTTCGAAGAAACCTCCATCCACAGCATTCCGAGCTTTTCGGTCCTTTGCTTGAGTGGCCCACGGATGGTGATTTCCTTCCGAAGCGAGACCGACCATCTCATGGGAAGCCTTATTCATGGCCGTCCATCTTCCCTGGCTCTCCAGCCCAGGTCACCTTTCTCTTCGTGATGTGAGTTGAAGGGTCCCAAACTTTTGATAGGACGCGGTTCCTGCTCAACGTGAGGCTGAGACTCGAAACGATTGGTGTCAATAAAATGAACCATTCAAAATTAGCGAATCATGATGATTTCAGAACATCATTAGGTTGTGAAATCCAAATCTGATTGCCACGTGGCAAATGCAAATCTGATTGCCACGTGGCAAATGCAAATCTGATCGCCACGTGGCAAATGCAAATCTGATTGCCACGTGGCAAATCCAAATCTGATTGCCACGTGGCAAATCCAAATATGATCGCCACGTGGCAAATGCAAATCTGATCGCCACGTGGCAAATGCAAATCTGATCGCCACGTGGCAAATGCAAATCTGATCGCCACGTGGCAAATGCAAATCTGATCGCCACGTGGCAAATGCAAATCTGATCGCCACGTGGCAAATGCAAATCTGATCGCCACGTGGCAAATGCAAATCTGATCGATTTTGGACAATCACCAAGCAGCCCACGGTAAGCGATCGAAAATCGAGGCAAAGCGCGATCATAAATTGTGTGATCATTCGAGCGAAATACCACCCGCACAAGGAAGTGTGGCTCAAAAAACCGATATAAATCGTTTATAGTTGAAATGTCGATATACATTTACATATATATGGGCAGTGTGTACGACGCTTCTCAAACAATGCTGATTCCGTTGATTCTCGCCGTTATTCCGGCGACGCTCGTCGATTCCCAAGGCGTCATCAATTGCAATCGATTGGTGGGTGCGATTCGAGAATGATGTGTTGAAAACAAAAATGGTTTAGACGCGAAATCTCAAGAATCGTCTGATCCCATTCGCAAGGCCGATGGAGGACGGCGACACGCTGAAAATTTGGGCGACTTTTCCCCAATATGCCATTGACATTGTATTGTTTGCATCGCGCTGAACTCATTTTTTTCGATCACTCGACGATTTCAGATCGACGTTCAGCTTGAACAGCGTCCTCAATTCCAACTCGATCTCGCGCATCGGACTCCACACACGATTCGAGTTTCGGAAAACGAAGAGCACCATCTTCAACACATATGTAAGACGGAAGGTTGGCTCACGGGAGCCACATTGTTCAATCATTTCAGAAGCACGGCAACTGGCTTCAAAGTATGACGGGACCAAATCCATTCGGACCCGGACATCAAATCGAAATTCACGTCGTGTAAATGCAAACTCGACGCGAGTGTTCGACAAATTCACGATTTCAGCAAACAGCCGAAAAGCTTCCTCGTCAAACATGTCACCGGTTTGGTGCTTCGCGATTTCCCGAATCGCCTTGATGACAACGATCCGATCGTCTACTTCTTCGCGTTCGGTGATTACGATGTGACGGCGGTGCAAATATGAGTGGGAAGGATTCTGGCGGGATTCGCCGAAATCGCGACCGATTCGCAATATTGTAGGGATTGCGTGAGACCGCCGCAGGAGAACGTTGATAGCGGACCCGGCGGTGACGGAAATGATGGAAATGGTGGAGGCAATGGTGGAAATGGTGGAGGCAATGGTGGAAATGGTGGAGGCAATGGTGGAAATGGTGGAGGCAATGGTGGAGGCAATGGCGGTAACAATGGTGGAAATAATGGTGGCAATGGCGGAGGCAATGATGGAAATAATGGTGGAAATGACGGATATAATGGCAATGATGGTAATGAACACAAATTCCATTTTGTTACACCAAAAGGTATAATATATATATAGGTGGCAATGGACATCATCACGATCCACACCCCGGACATTCTTTCTACCCTGAAGTTTATTGCTGATATATTTAAATAAATATTTTTTCAGGCACAAATGTTGTAAGTTCAAAACTGGAATTGCAATTTAAACTTTAAGTAAGCGTTAGACAAACAATAACGAACGAAGCGCAATTTAATTAGTTACCGGATGATAATAAAACTAATGGTCTAGCCAGAGGAATGGGAAGTATATAATAAAAATAATAATAAAGCAGCACGGTAGGAAAAATATATATCAACAACGAAAACCAATCACGCTTGTCGGGTCCGGGGCCTAAAACAATCCAACTACACAACTTCGTGTGTTTGCGCGTCAACTCTGGTGTGTGTGCATACACCGTGATTTTCACCGTAACCGCAGGATTTAAATTGTCGAGATCTTTCATCATTTTTTTTGCTCCTCGCAACACATTTCAATAAATTTTGATGGTCCATTCGAAAAAAAAACATCCGAAAATTTTGAGATAACAAATGATTCTGGTAAACTGTTAATTTCGCTTCCGATTTTCACGGACGAAAGCGGTAAATTCTATAAATCCACTAAAAGTGTGAAAATTTGCCGAAATGCCAAAAGAAACAGTGGTAGTGGTATTAGCGAATGATGGCAGTGCATAAGAATAGATTAAAGGCGCACACCACGTGTAAAGACCTCTCGCTACATTATCTGGCATTCAGCCAATTTGCCCGTCGCCGATTATACAACATTTTTAGAAAAATTCAGTAATCATATTTTTAAGATAACTATACTATTATTCGTATTCGATCACGAACCATTTATCCAAAAGCAAGGACACAACCGATCTTTTCCTATTCGCCCCTAGTAATTCGGAAAAACTTTACTACTGTTGAAACCCCTATGGCACAAAATGTTGGTCCGAATAATAGCAGACCAACTATGCTCTGAAGGGGCCTAATACCAACTCCAAACATTGCACGCTGGAAAATCGTTAAATGACGGATACCATAGTGTAAAACCGGTTCAATATAACGGGTTAAGGCGGTTAACTGGATAATTCCATTTAATACTTATTAAGAATTAACTGGTTAATCGAAAAAAAAACCAGTTAATTGCAAACAATTGTTAACTAGTTAAACAGTTAACTGGTTTCGAAAATTAACCGGTTAATCCTTTGATTGAAATATCCGATTCCGGGAATTAACCGGTTAATTTGGTTAACCGGTTATTTTAATCAAAGGGTTAATCGGTTAATTTTCGAAACCAGTTAACTGTTTATTGCAAACATTGGTTAACTAGTTAAACTGGTTAACCGACTGTCAATGTAACCACTTCGTGGTTTCATTTTGCGAACTGTTTAGCTTTTTGACCAGTTGACCGAGTTAAAAATTAACTAGTTTTACACTATAGTACCTAAACTGCGCTATGTGGGGATCTTAAATGCATTTTTCCCGCGGAGAAGTATAACGAATCGCGTGGGAGTATTTATGTGCATATTTTCCCAAAATTGTTATTAATTATTGTTGGCGTCAAACGACTTTACGAAATTAAAAAAATTATTGGCTATGTGCCAATGCTTCTCAAGGCAGCGAGAAGTCCGTAAGACTACGTACATTGCATTATAGTTTATGCGCATTTAATACTCAGTTAACGATAAATTTAAATCAATTCCATAAAAATTAAGAAATGAGAAATGAGAAAAAAAAAATGATATTAATTTATAAAAAATGACAAGAGGTGTTCTACGTGAACTTTTCCGAAGGACCCATTTCTATGCTAAGAGATAAAAAGTTATCAAGCGATCAGAAAACGATGAGCAACATGACAACGAAGAAGGTTATCGAAATTGAGGATGCCGTAGAAGTAGGGCCTCCTCGAAAGCGAGTAAAATTCTATCATTTCGCCGAGGAGGTCCTCTTCGAGGTCGTCGAAGGTCCGTCCATTTATTCTTTTCATTGTTGGATTGGCTTAATTTATTGGGCTCGGGCTAGATCGGCTGATAGGAAAAGAATTGTTCGGAGGATTCGGCATAACATCCTTCCATTCTGAAACAAGCCATTGATTACTGATGGTGTATTCCGCCCAAACGATTTCTCGCCCTATCAGTGGTGTAGGTGTTGAGTTATTCGAAAAAAGTCGCCTTCAAATCATCATTTCATTATTTTCAATGTTTTTCTTTTAAACAAAAATCAGAATTTTAATTATTTTCATCCGAAATCCCGTCTTCCAAACAATCAATAAGAAAATCAATAGACATTTAAATTGTTATAAAATCAATTTCATTTTGACTCCAATTAATACTTATCATAATTACCCTCATATTATATAAATAGAAGGCTACTTTTTTGAATTTTTTTGCTATATTTGTTGTTGTTTTTTTTATTTCTCGGGGAGGTTGGGATAATCGAGATTTTTTAAAATATTTTTCATTCGCGGAAAATTTCCAGCGGAATTCGCTTTTTTCAATCGTTTTTTTTTGCTTTTTTGGAGCAAAATTTATCAAATTTGGGTTTTTTTTTTTCAAAAGAGGGAGGAAAAAACTACAATATCCATCAAAGAAAGATGAAAAATTTAAATGAAAATGAAAATTCTACCAAAATTGATTTTTTTTTGTTGAATTTTCGACTTCAACAATGTTTTCTCTTGAAAAGTCTTTAAAGGCACACATTCCTCGAGAGGAATACTGATGGTTGTCCTCGAAATGTCCTGCGATGTCGTCTTTGATTCTGCCTTTCGAATCTTTCGACGTTGATCCTGCGAAAATGTCAGTTGATGCGCCTTTAAAGGCTTTTCACAATTTGAAGCTCTTGAAATAATTCAGTGGACTTCTGAAATCTTATATATTTAGGGCCGAGGAAAGGAGTGAAGAGGACGCGAACCAACGGGCCGGAGATTCGGAAGGTGAAGGTGGACGTCAACGAGTCGCCGGTGAAGAGGAGAAGGCCGAAGGAGGTGTCGCAGGAGGAGATGCTGGCCACGTTCGGCACCGATGCCGAGCCAATCGAGATCGACACGACGCCGCACAGCTATTTTTGCTATCGATACTGTGTGGCCGGTTGTGCGCATGACTGCCCGTGCCGAAAAGATCAGGTGCGGTGCTGCCCGCGGTGCCCGTGCAATCCTCGCACGTGCACCAATTACGATCTGGAGCGGGAGCACCAACGGCGGTCGGCGAGAGCATCGAGGGCCGAGCGTAGGCGGACGGCGAATCGAGAGTGGGCCGCGATGGAGCCGATGACGGATGGGATGGCGGAGCAGGAGCGACGGTTGGCGGAGAAGGCGGCGGCGGCGGCGTTGGTGAAGCCGAGGTGGAGCGTGTTTGCGGAGGAGGAGGAGGAAGATGAGCCCGAGGAGAAGAAGGCGACAGTGTTCCCGGAAGAGGATGAGGAGGAGACGGTATCGGAGATGGCGGAGGTCGTGGCGGTGGGAGAGCTGGAAGAGCAGGAAAGCGGCGCGCTTGTGAGGACGCCAGAAGAGCCGGAGGTAGTGCTCGCGCGCACTCCGGAGGCCGAGCAAGTGGAAAATCCGGCGGTGTTAGAGCCGGTCTACTTTCACCCTGAGGTGCGTGGCGCATTGCGCGGTCTGATCGCAAGTGAAGACCGGCCACAAGGGCGCCAATTCTTAACATCTGGCGCCGTTTTCGCCGGACTCTTAAATCTGGTGAAGACGGCAAAGATTGGTGTGGTTTGGCCGTCGGCCATGAAAGTAGTGGTCGACGAGGAGGAGCAGGATCCGGAGCATATCGCAATTATGCTCAAACGGTGCACCGCTGGGGTGCGCCGTGAGGCTGAGGTCGTCTTCATGCCAGTGCACTTCCATCAGCACTGGCTCCTAGCCTCATTCAAGACGGCAAGTAGCAAGTGCGTCATTTATGACTCACTTGCTGCGAATCGCCTGCCGAGCGACCGCAAGAAGATCGCGGCCGCAATGAAGCGGGCGTTGGCGGCGTTGTATCCGGAAGTCATCTCGTCCGTGCGCTGGGCGCCAAAACACCACCAATTGGCGCAGACGGATAGATACAACTGCGGCATTCATGTCATCGAGAATGCCCGAAGAGTCCTGGAGAGAAGCAACACCAACCTGGCCGGAGGAGAACACATCGACATGGAGGGGGAACGCGAACTTCTACGATTCATCGTGGAAGGCTTCATTCCGCAGCTGGGTAGGTTCATTCATCTCGTTTCTAGCTTGCAACGGAGTTTTCGTTGAATTTTGGAAGCACTTCTTGCGAAAAAATTACCGAAATTCAACGATTTTCTGATTTACGCTAAACAACGGTCGTTGTGTTAATGGCGGAGTGTCGTACTAAGTCCAAAATTTGCTTGCAGAAGCAATTGCGGATGAAGCTACGAGGAACCCGCCATGTCCGGATGTTGGCGTGCGGACGACAACAAGACCGACGAGACGCGCGTCAACGGATGCCAAAGGCCGAATCCAGAGGCTCTACCGCCAAAAACTCGTTTAATTAAAAAATAAAAAAAAAAAAAAAAAAAAAAAATAAAATAAAATAACAAAAAAATTAAAAAAAAAAAAAAAAAAAAAAAAAAATTTAAAAAAAAAATAATTAAAAAAAAAAAAAAAATTTTAAAAAAAAAAAAAAAAAAAAAAAAAAAAAAAAAAAAAAAAAAAAAAAAAAACAACTAAAAAAAAAACAATTAAAAAAACAAAAAATATATACATATATATATTTATTTATTTTTTGTCCTATATTAGGACACCCTATAATTTTTGATTGATGAGAATGCTCGAAAAATTTCGACGCTGATGATCATCAAAACGAACCGAAGAATATTTCAATTGCTCGGTTACAAGGATCAACAAACAAATGAAATCGATCCGAGTGATTGAAGCACAGGATGAATGTGCTCTTGCAATGGTGAGTATTCTGAAAAACAATTCCCTTCGAACTCATCTTCTTCAGTTGGAATTGCATTCGAAAATTGAAAACGACGGAAAACGGATCAATGCGAAGAAGATTTCATCAATGGAATGGAACGAGTCGATCAGAAGAATGGAAGACATCTGTCGAAGTGGCTGAGCACAAGATGATGGTGCGAATCGAATGGTGAGTTGTGCACCATTTGAACACTGCGTAAACTGTGTCTCACATCAGGATTAAATTCAAATCCATAAACGATGAAAATTAAAAGCTGTGAAATCACAATTTTTAAAATGGATTGGCCAAAATAACCCATCAAATTTAATTTCCCCCCCTAGTTTTCTTATATTCTATTTATTTTTATTTTTACTTCTTTCTTTTTATTTTTAATTACCAACTACCCCTTTTTATTCAATATTTTCCTTATTTTAAAACGACGGTCATATTTTATTGTAAAAAATAAGAAAAAAGATCCAAATGTCGTTCAAATTGTTTCCGATTTATCCTATTTTTTGTGTTTATGTTCAAGTTTTTCGATGATCCTTAAAAAAACGACTGGACAAAATGAGTTGTAAAAAAAAGAATGAAAAGATCCAAATGTCGTTAAAAAATCATTTTTATTCTATTAATTATACTATTTTATTTGTATTTCTTTTTGTTCAATTGGGATCTCTGATTTCTGCAGAGATCGGATGGATCACATCGTGGCTCTCAAATGTAAGGCATTCAATTAACATCTGAAACCATATAGATAATCTCACTTCAGATTAAAACTGACACACAATGTTGAGATAAGAGAACCTGGAATTGAAGCCGATGATGTGCTGAAGGGAATCAGATCAGCAATTGATTCTCAATTGAAATCGGAAGACGGAAGCATGTAAGAAAATACTTTTCAAGAATCATTTATTGATTGATGTTTTGTAGTATTCATAAATGTCTGCACTTCAACAAAGACGAAACAAAAAAGATTTGATCGAAGCTGAAAATATCGAGAAATGAAGTGATGTCTGAAGGATGAAGCACAAATCGAAGTTGGATTTAATGTGAAAATCCTTGAAGGTGCCCTTTGTATTATCATTATTCCCATTTTTCCCCGCCCCTTTTTCGATCTGTAGTTCATTTATTTTAGTCTAAAGACTTTAAAAAATTAAACAAAAAAGAAAAGAAAAGATTAAAAAGAACATTTATTTGAAATATTTTTTATAAAGCGAAAGGACAATTTTAATTGTAAAAAAATGAAAAAGATCCAATGTCGCTACAATTATATCATTTTAATTGTAATTTTATTTATTCTTGTGTATTTTATTTGTATTATTGATTCAATCTTCTTGGGGATCCTTGCTTTATTTTTTGAAGGATCGGATGCAACACCAAAATCGAATGAAATGTAGGCGATTTTTTCGAATTTTTTATCAAAATCAAGTATTTCAGTGCAAAGTCTTCAAAAAAAAGCAAGCAATTGTTCGAATCGAAGAAAAAGTTTTCAAAAAATGAAAATGGAAAAAGGTCACGCGAATTGGAATTGGAGATCGATGGGTTTTGATTGGTTTTTGATGGACGAATCGTTGAGAGGATTGTGAGAGCAAATGATTCTTTGAAATTTCATCGAAATTCTTGGGTAAAACTATTTCGCTAATTTTTCTGGGTCCTGATGATGATTGTGGAAGGTAATGTCCCACAATCGGAGGGCAATGAGAATAATTATTACTAGAAAAGTAAAGAAAAATAAGCGAATTCGAAAAAAGTTTCTATTTTTTTGCATTTTTTGGCCCGATGATGATTGTGGAAGGTAATGTCCCGCAATCGGAGGGCAGTGGGTTAATGTTCGGATTGAGAGATGTCTTTGCAAAATCCGGCTAGAAAATGATGTGATTTTAAAAGAAAAATCAAAAAAAAAAGAAAAATGTACTATGGCTCCTAATAGTTATTTCCACAAAAAAAGGTAAAACCAAAGAATACCTTAGTAGAATGAGTTATTATCGAGGACGGACGAATTTAGGATCCTTGCCCGCCTATTTTTTCGTTGTTGAATATTTATATTCGTTTCTTCCGTGTACCTTTAAAATATACATTTGCATTTGCTTGAAAAGTTTCCCGATTTCTCACCTGTGTACTTTGTCAAGAGCGAACAGAATTCGAGTGGGCGTAGCTTACTATTCAAATTTCGGCACCATGATCTTAAAATCATTTTCGATTTTATCTAGTATTAAATGCATTGATAATTATAGTATATATCAAAGGCGCATGCGGAAAATTTGCTGATTTCGCGTTAAGATCAAAAATGACTAACTCGTTGGTTATTTGTCGAAGAAAACGCGCGAGTTCGATAATTCGATTGAATTCGAAAATTTTGAAAAGTCGTTAATTTCGATGAAATATCGATTAATTTTCAAATTGGATTTTTTTTTGCGTTTTTTGGCCCGATGATGATTGTGGAAAGTAATGTCCCACAATCGGAGGGCAGTGGGTTAATGATTGAGAGATTTGAATTTCCAATGGTTCCTAATAGTAACACACAACTCCGCTTCCACGATCTTCCAGTAAAGCTATAGAATACTTTATTAGAATAAGATATTGTCGAGGACGGACAAAATCAAAGGCTTATTATGCTTATTATTCAAATTTCGGCGCCATGATCTTAAAATCATTTTCGATTTTATCTACTTTGAAATTCATCGAAAACTACAGTAGGTATCAAAGACGCATGCGAAAATTTGTTGATTTCGCGCAAAGATCACAAATGACTAACAAGCTATTTGTCGATAAGCGGAGTCTATCGATCCGCATCTAATAGTACGATTTTTAATTTAATTTTTAGCCCGATGATGATTGTAGAAAGTAGTGCCTCACAATCGGAGGCCAGTGGGTTAATGATTGAGAGATTTGAATTTCCAATCGTAGCCTCGGCGAAATTCGGCTAGAAAATGATGTGGTTTTAATAGAAAAAAAAATTAATTTTAAAATTGTCCAATTCGAAACATTAATTATACTATAAATTTCGCATGTATGGTTTTATGTTCATTTTTAGCCCGATGATGATTGTAGAAAGTAGTGCCTTACAATCGGAGGGCAGTGAAAATACCTATGAAGATCTGATAAGGTATTATGCAAATTTGGCAATTTAATTCGTTTCAAAAATTTTGTGGAAAGTCGTTCGAATTTCTCGATTTATTCCGAATTTCGAATTCGAAGTCGAATTTTCTATTACTTTTAGCCCATTAAAATCATATCGTAACCGGAAAATCCCGATGATGATTGTGATTTCCGACAATCGGAGGGAAGAAGGTTTCCGATATTCACTTCAGTTTTTATCTTCTTGGGCATCCTTGACTCGATTGTTGAATAATCGGATGCGACAACAAAATCGAATGAAATGTAAGCGATTTTTTCGAATTTCTGATCAAAATCAAGTTTTTCAGTTCGAAATGTTAAACGAAAATCAATTGAGTTTGGAAAATAAGAAATGAAAACCAAATGAGAATCTGATTGTGTTTACGACGAGTCGAATCTCGGAATTTTGTTTGGAAGAAAAAAAATGAATCGGACGATCGACATTTGAACTTCTATTTAAAAGTATTTGGGTGGTTTTTTTCTACATAGGATATTTTACAACTCGACCAAATTTATTCTAAGATTGGGTTTTGATCTCTCTTTAAAATACACATCAATTCACCCAAAAAGGTTAATAAACTTTAACGCGGTGTGGTTTTTGCCTCAGGTAATTGAAAATCAATCAGATTCAAAAAAATTATTCGATTCGATTGGGAAAGAGTATAAATTTGAATTCAAATTTGGTTTCGATTTTTTTAATCTTTATGATCGATTGTATTTTCATATAGTCGGCGTCCGGCGATTGTTGTACGCGGGTAGATTTACGCGCATGCGCCTTATAAAGGACTCGCCACGTGTGAACCAGGGCTGTGCGGCAATGGAATTGCCGATTGCCGAAATTGCCGAAATTGCCGATTTTTCAAATTGCCGAATTGCCGAATTGCCGAAGAGAACGTTCGATCGGCAAATGGCCGAATTGCCGGATTGCCGAAATTTTGATTTTCGGCAATTTGATATCAAAAAAAATCGACGAAACCAAAATCAATGTCCATTGAATAATTTGGGATACCGTGAAAATTCGGTATTTATATTTCGAATTATCGTTGAAAACATTTAATAGCCGAAATTTTGATTTTCGGCAAATTGCCGAATTGCCGAATTGCCGAAATTTCCGATAGCCGCACAGCCCTGGTGTGAACGCTGATTTTGTTGTTTTCACGTGACTTATTTTTTCTTAATGAGTTTCGCATTTCCTCGAATTTCCAAGGTCATAAATTTAAAAAATTATCGAACCTGTCCATAAAATGCGAAATAACCGGTTAGTCCGTGCGAGACCATTTCGAAAGACGCATCCGCGAAAAAATCTACCCGCGTACAGCAGTCGCTGGAAGCCGATTTTCAATTTTTAAATCAGATTAATTTTTTAATTCGATTTCGATTAAAATTATTTTCGAATCCGTTTTGAATTAGTGTATTAGCATAAATTTTTATTAAATTTTAACTTAAACCTAATTTTTTTGAGAGAAGATGGAAATTCCATCATCTCAAATCAAAATACTGTTACTGATTTTCCAAAATAAAATATGCGATGCAAAAATGAGCGTCCGGATGATTTTAGTAAAAAAAAATCGATAGTGGTAGAAAATAATCGTCCAAAATTTGTACTATTCGTATTTTTTTTGCAAAAAAATCCGATTCTATATGAATTTTTTTCTATTTTTAGACAGGTTGTTCTCCAAAAACTAATAATAACGTGAATATTTGAAATATCAAAACCAACGTGACTTCGTTTTCATTCATTTCTAATTTTTTCCATTTTCGCCAGCGTTTTGTGCGGTGCGTTATTTCGATGAAGAGCTCTGAAAAAAACAACATTATTAAGAAAGTAATTACGGGATTTAAGCTTATTAATGAAAAAGAGGGTCACAATATTAAAAGATCTTAATTTCATTTTCAAATTTCCTCAATTTTTCATTATTTTTGCTCATTATTTTAAAGAAAATAAGAATGGATTTATTTTCAGATCAATTTTGCTCCGATTTTTCGATTGTGCTCTTCAATCGCCGATGGGTGGCTAATAATCGGTCGTGTAAGTTTTTTCTTCTTCTTTTATGATTTTTAAAAAGTTTTTAACGAAGTTTGTTAAAATTCAGAAATATTTTAAAAGTTGCGATTTCGTTTGTCCCGACATCGAAGGTTCCGAACCGCTGTGAGCGTGTCTCGAGAACATTCGTTGAGTCGGATTTGAGAGAGCCCGCACGGACGCCGCGTTCTCGTGCCACAAGACGCGGACCAACGTCCCGCTTCGGTGACCCATAGGGTCCGACCCAGGAGGGAAATGCCTGGGGAAGTCTAGGCGCACACGGTGGAGTGGCGTCGGGACCATTCGATGTAGGGACCGCCAAATTGGCAACAAATTTTCGATGGTCTCTACTTTTTTTTCCTGAAAGCGCAACATGACAAACTACAGGGTGTCATTTAAGTTCCCGCACAACTTTGAAGACGTATATTTCTGAAACTAAAAGTCCAAATCAAACGAGACTCGAAATATTTTTTATCTATAGTACAACAAATAATTATCTATTAACTCTTTTCGATTCGGCCTCTTTTCGCAGCTATGACTTCACGGAAACGCTTCGGGTAGAATGCGACTGTGGTACGCAGGTATTCGATGGAAAGATTGTCCCATTCCGCCAGTAATGTCTTCTTCAGAGCCTCTACACTTGAATGGGGTTTTGCGTTGACCTTCTCCTGCAAGACCCCATCACGGAGAAGTCAAGCGGGTTCAGGTCTGGGGAGCAAGCAGGCTATTCGGATGACTTGATGAAGT